AGCTAATTACTTATTTTCAGTTTTTTGGTATAGGATATGAGTGCTTGCCAGAGAGAGCCAGGAGAAAAATATAGGAAAAGTAAGAAAGTATCTCCCAGAAAATATAAGAAAGTAATAAAGTACTGATGGTCACACCACAATCCCTTCTCTTCTCATAATCTTGGGCACTCATATACCCACACCCGGCCTGTTCATCGCCTGGTCTGGGACTCCAACCACATGGTTGGCCACGTAAGGTACGGTCAGCTAAATACCATGTCACCAACTGGCCTCATTTCTTTGTACTGATTTTTAATTTACAGAGGGTGTGAGTGTTGCAAAAGAGACATACAGAGAGAAAAAGCACCCCTGAATGGGGCATAGTCACATCCCCACTCCTTTCTCCTCTATGTCTCCAACTTGTTGGGATCTCAAGCATGCACAGACATTTGCCCATTTCAAGCCGTCAGGGCTGGGGTTCCAACCACATAGTCAGCCATGTGGCTCTGGCTCCCTTAACCAAGGTTATGGGGCTGGCCCAACATTAGCTATCTCAACACCTCAGAAAAACTTGTTGACTGAGTACAGGCTGTCCAATCCCTAACATGCACAGGAAATGTTCAAGAAATGTCACTGATAGTGTTAGTGCTAAAGGATTACTTCTCTTAGCCTATTGCAGTCACTTAATTTTTATTGAAAGCATTACTTTTTTTTTTTTTTTTTTGAGAACTTTTTGCTATAAGGGGCGTGCAGGCTTGCCAGAAAGACAGACAGAGACAGAAAGGGAGAAATCACCCCCCAGGGGGGATGGCCATGCCGCATTCCCTTCTCCTCCATTCTCCTCTCAGGATCTTGGGCACACGTGCACATGGGCCCGGCACATAAGCCACCGTGTCTGGGACTCAAACCATGGTCAACTACATGGGAGTCCAGTGACATAGCCAACTTATGGTCCAACTTATGGAATTATGTCAACTGCTGGTCCCAAAAGCATTACTTTCTTACATCCATCCCTGAGTATTTAATGTATCATGACTAAGTATAATATGCATTCATTGACCAAAAAGCCAGGCTTTCTTGAGTATCTGCAGTTCATATTCTGAGATCTGGTGACCGAAATAATCGCCATCTGGTACTGACATGGTTAGATAATAACCCAGTAGAATCTGAGGCTAGGACCTGCATAAATGATGAAAAGAGCTCGCTGCAAGCAGTTATTAGTGGAAATAATCTTGATTTTTGAATCCTCATCCTCACGCTGTTTTTCTTAAATGTAATTCCCATGCATTGCTTCAATTTGAAGTCTTGGCAGAGAAAAGTTAAGTTGGGGTTCTGGGAGCAGTAAATCAAGGAGTCCCCAGCATCCATGTATGGTTTCTGGGATCAAGCATGGAATCAGGGTAACTGCAGTAAAATCATTAGTCTTGAGGTTTGGGATCCTAGGGATCTCTCCAGTTCAGAGAGTCACAGAGACACACACAGATGGCAAGCACTCCCCTCCAATGGGTGTAGTCACACCCCAATCCTTTCTCCTCTCTGTCTCCATCCCGTTGGGATGTAAGTTAGGCTATCATGTTTTTATTACCAACTCTCCACACAAGGAGCCTTCATACTTGCACATATATGCTGCTACTATTTTAATTAGTTACATAAAGGCTTTTCATTTTTTGTGGGCCAACTATGAATTACACAGTTTTTCATAGTTTGAAGATAGTTACACCTTTTTTAAATCTTCTATACAATAATTTCAAAGTTATTTACAACAACCATAATTCTTATCATTTCTTTAGAACAGTTCAATGCAATCGACTTATTTTTTACAAGTGTAAGAGCAAATGTATAAAAGAAAATAAGCCATTTAAATTTTTGGAAAACATTACTTTTAAAAGAATTATTTTATTGGTTTAAATACACAAAAATCCTTAAACATCTAAATGAAACATTTTAATTTTATAAATCTTATTTTTTTCTAAAGTGTCTTCTAGCATCTTTAACTTTCTACTAACCAGAAATTTAGTCCACTTCATGATGTCTTCTAAATTATCTTTGCCTTTAACTTCATTTAATAACAAATCATTTACATATTAAGGAGAAATGGTCTTACAGAGTAAGACTTTCCTGTAAATGTGTGATTTAAGATTATTATAATGGGACCAGCAGTTAGCATAATGGCTATGTCACTGGACTTCCGTGTAGTTGACCAGGGTTCGAGTCCTGGACCTGGTGACTTATACTCACACCAGACACATGTGCATGCATGCTTAAGATCCCAAGAGAAGAATGGAGGAGGAGGGATTATGGCGTGGCCATCACCCCTGGGAGGTGATTTCTTGCTTTCTGTCTCTCTGTCTCTCTCTGTCTTTCTGGCTAACGCAAGCGCCCTATAGCAAAAACCTCTCAAAAAAAAAAAAGATTATCATAACATGTAATTAAGAAGTGTGTGAAAAAAAAACTAAAACAAAAGAAGTGTATGTAGTACCATAATGTAGTGGACAAACAGTTATATGGTAACTTATTTTTCAAAAAGTCCCATAGTCATCACTACCCACAGTCAACCAATTTTAGCAACCTGGTAAACCCATCCAAAATTAAAATTTTATACATTTATATCGGATTTAACCAGTTGATCTTACTGGTGGAAAACTGTCTCTTAGAATTACTGGTATTACAGATTTAGAAATGAAATATTCCAGTACCAGCAGATGGAGTAATGGTTATGTCACTAGACTTTTACATGGCTGACTGCAGTTTGAGTCCCAGAGCATTAGGCTTGAAACTCATACCAGACATGTGTGCAGGCGTGACCAAGATCCCGAGAAGAGAATGGAGAAGAAGGGATTGCAGTGCCCCCTCCACCCAGGGGATGATTTCTCCCTTTTTGTCTTTCTGTCTCTCCTGTCAGCATATGCGTTATATAGCAAAAATTTCTCAAAAAAAAAAAAAAGAAGAAAAAAGAAAAGAAAAGAAAGAAATGAAACATTCCATTAGTTACCTCTGCCACAATATAAGCATAATGTTACACTTTGTTCTTTGACTCTCTCCCACCCTCTTAAGAAACAGGGATGTTATTATGTGGTCTTATTTCACATTCTGACCTCAGTTATTTGGATCTGCCAGACATGCTTTCTACTAAGATAAAAAGACCTCTCTCTGTAAATCACTTAGCACTAAGGATTGACAAAATTTCCTGCAAATTTTAATCCTCAGAACACCTTTTGGGATAAAAAGTATTTGTTTTACAATTTACTGCCTTGTGTAAGCCATCATGACGTGACCCCTAAAGTTGCAATAGACATGAAATCTTGATTTCCACCATGACTTCTTAGATTTTACCTGAATGATGATTGCTTTAGTATGGCAAAGTTTAAGAGCCACCAGCCCCATATTTTAAACTGTTTATTTAAACGAATGGCCTTACAATTTTCTTTTGCCAGAAAGTAGCTACAATATGATAAAATCTCCAGCACTTTCATAGCTGCTCTCTGTTAACTAGGACAGGAAGGGGTGCTTTCTGAATCATTATGGTTGTTCACAGCCCAATCCAAATCATGTAACACCCTGGCTCCAAAAAGGAGTTTTAGAATGAACAAAAGTTAGAACATAACTTTAATGCAGTGGGTTCTGCACGTATGGAGCCCATCAGCTGATTTGAGCTAAAAGTAAAAACATCTTAAGCATTTAAATGAATTCTTTCATCCACGAATCACAGCAAATTCAGGAAAATTAGGATTATGTTGGTAACCTCTAATCTTTTTCTAAACTGACTTAGCCCTAGGCAAGTAAATCGTCCCCTGATGCCATTGTTGGAAACAGAATTTCTGGCTGAAAGACCATTTTTTTTCTGACTCAGTCTGGCTAGCTGTTCTTGGTTAATCATCCCCATTTCTCTCTCAACATTTCATTCTTCTGACTGCAGTGGTCAACATTTATTTTCAGGATTCTTAAAGTGATCGGTTTCTCTAGCCATGTCCCTCTTTAACCCATCCAGATCCACCCCAACTCTCATTCCTATCGCCCGCGTTTCACTAAGATTTTGCTAAACATTAAACAAGGCACATGACCTCCAGTCTTCCAGCGCCTCGGAACAAACCAATAAAAAGACATTCGAGTAGCTCGTTTGTAAGCTTCCCTACGCTTGAGGTTTTAAATTGTCTTTAGCTCTTCAACTCTTAAAAAAAAACCTTCAGCGCAAAATTTAAATTTAAAAATTTTTTAAATAAAGAAACCGCTCCCCTTTTTTAACCTTTAGCTCCGCCCACTGCCCCCAGCCTCCACGCGAAACTGCAGGAAACCGGAGGGGGCGGGGCGGTGACGTCACGACGCCGGTGCGTCACGGAACGGCGGCGGCTGCGGCGCTGGCGGTGGCTGCGGCAGCGGCGG